AGGCAATGAGATTGGCACAGGATAGAGCAGGGTTTAGGGCTGTTGTACATAGGGTCGCTATGAGTCGCAAACGACTCGATGGCACTTAACAACAACAACATCATTTGCACCTTCTATAGCAGTTCATATGACTCCACATCAATATATTTATTCTGCTTCCCTGTCTCTGGGGTATTCATGGAGTCTGAAATATAACCTGCCTTTTTAATAGAAGGCTTGTTTTGTTTTTGATAATGTTTTATGTTGCATGCTACTTTCTTGACATTGTATGAAGTTTTTATTAGTGTGCATTAGGCCATTTCCATTGTGTCTGCATATGTTGCTGGTAGTTCTTTATCTTTCTGGTGTTATTGATTTGTTTCAGGCTTAAAGTGTTTGACTGTGGGGATGGGCAACTTGCTCTACTAGAAGTCCTTTCTGGGTCTATAGAGTAGGGAAAGTTTGCTTTTTCTGAAGTCCTTCAGGTCCTTTCTGGTCTGCAGACAGCCTTGTGTGAATCTTGCCATATTTCAGCCTCCTGTCCCAAAAGTTTTGGTCTGCAGGGTGTAGAGATCAGGTTCTCAAACTGAAGCAGTTCCTCTCCAAGAAGTTTGCATGCCTCTCCCTCCATAGCATGTCAATGTCTTAATACACTTTTTGAAGAAGATAAAAGACGATAGCTTTTACTAAAAATTATACCTTAACATCAAGAAAACAAAAGTTCTTACTAATGGACTAAAAAACAACACTATGATAGACAAGGAAGAGATCGAAGGTGTCAGAGATATCACTCTACTTATATCCATAATCAACACTAATGGAAGGAACAGTAAAAAAATCAAACAACATGTTGCACTGAGAAAATTTGCTGCCAAGGGCCTCTTTTAAATGCTCAAGAGTAAGGATGTCAGTTTAAACCTAAGGTGTGCCTGATCCAAGTCATGCTTCAATTACTTAATATACTGAAAATGGAGCAATGAATAATGAAGGACAAAGAATTGATGCTTTTGAATTGTAGTGGTGAATATTTAACATACTATGGACTGCCAAAAGAACAAATGAATCTGTCTTTGGAGGAACTGCAATCAAGATGGTCTACAGAGTACTTTGAGCATGATGTAAGAGAGAAATAAAAAAGTGTGTGTGATGGGCTTAGTAGATGTTCTATAGGATCAATGATATGTTATCATAGTATCTATATACTCGGTATTATTCTTTACCTTACTTAATTGGGGTGATTCATTTTAACCCAAATTCTGAGAAGTCAGCTTAATATTTTACAGACCTTTGAGTTAAAGGTCTTAACACTCACTAGCACTTATTTGGTGGCGGAGTGGAGCAAGGGTAATACAGGTCCAATTTCTGGGCTGTCTCTTATTGGACCTTTTTTTCCTCCTTAAAGTTTCCTCCAATTTAATTAACACATTTCCAGGAATAGCTTCCCTTCACTTGATGATTAGAGAACTTGACTAGATTTGGGAGAAGTCAGCTAGCTGAGTCAATGCTCTAGTAAAACCTATGTCTCACCCCTTTCCCTTCTGACAAAGTAGAAAGGGTGGGCTGGGACGCTCAGGTCAGCATTTATTTTTGGATCTAGCTCACTAAAAATACCGTTCTGAACTGAATGAAGCCAGAGACCGCACAGCCCTGCGCCCCACCCTCTGCCTTTAAAGGAGAGGGGAGTAGAGTCAAAAAGATTGAGGGACAGGAAGGCAGGAGTGGCCACCCGCAGGATGCCCCGCTGACGCCCCCCACCCCTGACGTCAGAGAAGCATTGAGCTCTGCCGGCCGCTAGAGAAGGGCCAGAAAAGGAGGGGCGCGGAGAGTGTCGTGCAGGGATTGGCTAGCCGAGTGCGAGCGCTCGCTCGCATTGGCTGGTGAGCTTTTAGAGGGAGTCCCACTCTCCAATTAAAGCGGCCCGGCGCCAGACTGTGCCCTACCTAGCTCCCTGTGTGGCCCGCGAACTCCTCCGCTTGGTCACCTCTTGGTTCCTGCTGGGTTCGGTAATTTCTATTGCCTGTGCTTCCCAGACGAGCGGGTGCTATTTCCTCAGCCCAGAAGATGGCAAAGGTGGCTAAGGACCTTAACCTTGGAGTTCAAAAGGTGAGCCGCCTACATTTACTCTAGTCTGTCTTTCTCTCGCTTTTTTCCTCTTCATCCTGGGAAAGTTCACTAAATTCCAAGGCTTCATGGAGAGCGAAACAGCGAGGAATAAATTTTTGATCTAACACACAGACATACCCAAATCCACTCTTGACTGTTGCTGATTTTCAAATATACTTTTAAAAGTTGCTGAAAATCAACTCTTAAAAGTATTTACATTTGCAATTTACCTGATAATGTTAATGAAAATTTAATTAGGATCAGACTTTTTAGGTACGAGGGAATAAATCCTAGCCTTCATCATCCCTTCCTTCTCAGGTGGTTGAAGTTGGGGTTAAAGGTTAACAGTCTACAGAAACCTCACATTTTGTGGTCAACCTACCCGCACCTCCTCCCTGTTTCCATTTTTGCTTTCTTATGCTCCCCAGCCTCTTCACCCCATCCCCGCCCCAGCAGCTTCTTTAGTCAATTATATTGGCAGTGACAGCAGTTCCACCAGAAGGGTCTGCACCTTTCCCTTTCAACAGGGATTGGCCCAGAGCCTAGGTCATGGGGAAAGGCGTTGGGGGTGGGTTGGACACTGCAGCTGTCCCTGTAACTCCAATGTCCTCATTCACCTGAATGCACTTGGAATGACTCGGGCTGGAGTCTGAGAGGGTTTATCAGCATGAATGCGAGTGATAACCTAGGCCAGTGCTCTTAATGTTATATGGAGAGGAACTGAAGACAGAGTCCTCAGAGTTGACTAGCAGGCAACAGATAGCTTTGCAAAATCTGCATTCAAATTTGACCACTTTGTAGCTGTGCAGTATTGCTCAGGCTGCTTTTCTGAGCCTTAGTTTCCCCATTTCCAGTGTGGAATGACAGTTCCCATCTCTTTTTTAACAGCAGCAACATAGATAGTGATTGGGTGGATTACTCTTAAGTAATTTTTAAACACTGGTTTCAGAAATTTCTCTCTTGCAGGGCAAAGTCCTTAGAATATCTGTATTCATGACTTGTGAGTTATAAAGACAGGTTTTAAAAAAATCCCAAACACCTACAACAGAGCCAAAATAAAAATTCAAGGAGACCAAGCATTCATGCTAACTTGCAGTTGAGCCCTCACAGCAGCCCCTATGTTGTGTCCCCTTTGGAATCTGCACTCCAAGCCACATTGAATCAGGGCATCTCTTTGGAATGCCCTGTTGCATTTGCCAGACTATTTCCAGAATCAAGTCATCTATCCGTCTACAGAACTCTCAGAACACTTTAGACTTTTATACCTTACTTACTGATTTCTACCTAATAGTGAACTATGCATACCCTGGTCTTGTTCCCCACACTCTTTTCTGAACTCCTTGAGTTCACGACTTTCTTACTCTCTGTGTTCAGTACAGTACATCAGGACCATGCCCAGCAGGAAGCCCAAAATTCTTTCAAGTCAACACTTATCCACCTGGCTAAGACCACAGAATTTGCATGTAATACATTTTATTCATTTTTTTTAACTTATTGTAGTGCTGGGATATCTGTGTCCAAACTGTCTTACCAAATTCAGTCGAGGTATGAGACTTTAAGGCTAAAATAGAATCCCACTGTCCTCTATAAAACCAAATGATTTCTGATTATTTTTCTACAAGCTAGTGGAGAGTTAATTTGTGAAGTAACACACAAGGTCTGTTGAAACCATCCCTTCTCACCGGAGGCTGCAGTTCAAACTTGCAGGAAGTTTTTAATTTCCTTTGCATCTCTCTCTCTTTCATTGCCCTTGAATCAGAACCCACACAAAGCTGACCCTTTGGCAGGTTTTAAGGCTGTAAATTGCACAAGAGAAGATTGCCCATCTCTTCTCCCAAAGGGACAGCTGGTAAATTTGAACTGCCAGAGAGGTAACCTTTAATTTAGCAGGGCAACTTTCTGTGAACTATGCCACTAGAACTCTTTTCCTGTGCTTCTTGTTGTTGTTGAGTACCGTAGAGTCAGAACCAACACATAACTGACCCTCCAGTGGGTTTCGGAGGCAGTAATTGCAGGGGAGGAGATTGCCCATCCTTCTCCCATGGGAGCATCTGGTGGAATCGAACTGCATGCCTTTGGGATTGCAGCGCAGATTCTTACCAGTCGGCCACCCGAGCTCTCTCTTCCTGTGCTTAGGAGAGTGCAATTATTCAGATCAGAAGTGGAACATGTTCTCCCTCTTATCACCTCAGGGTGCCAATTTCTTTGGCCTGCAAAGGGTTTCTTTTCCATTTAGATCCAGTTACAGGATTAAAGGAAGAATTTGGTGGGTAGAGATGAAAGGGTGGATATTTTTTACTTCTTGGAACTGACAATGAAATGGAAGATCAGCACTTTATAGGTTAACCAGTGTCTTCAACTCAAAATGGGATTGGGAGGAGGGCTTGGGGAGAAACCTGATTGAACTATCACAGTGATTAAATGCTATGCCATGTCAACAGCATGCTGAATGTATTTACTTTTCCAGTCTGTAACAGTGAGACTTGTATGTTTGCCTTCGGGATGCTTAATCACGCTTAGAATTTTAAACCAATCTCATAGACTCTTAGCACTGTCCTGGACTTATTTACAACATACAAGTGGTTTACAAGCTGCCTTACGCCAAAGAGAAAAGAGGTGCCCAGGATCCCCAACAGCTCCAAAGTCATAAAAAAGACTTCAGGAAAGAACATAAAATCCAGCAGCTAAAGTAGAGTCCTGGGGGATAGAGACCACCTCTCCAATCCCAGACTGAGTACCCAGGCTGAGTACCCCACCATGGGCCACACTCCTCATGGCAGAACTCAGAATTACCACCCCCCCCCCCAATCTGAGCTGAGTGAAAACCGCCCATTGGCTACTCTTGAACCATCACTTGTTTTCCTACTGGGGAAGAAAAAGGTACAGATATCGTAGTACAGATAATGCAGAATGATGATATTAACATCATCCCTTGGTGACAAAGAGCCTTGAAGGCCAAGTGCTATATTGCTTTTGGAAGAACCAACCACCATTGCAGATTTATTCTTTCATTGTTTAAGTATATTTAAGGATATTGATTACATACATATTTTGGCCCACCATTGCAGATTTATTTTTTTATTGTTTAAGTATATTTAAGGATATTAATTACATACATATTTTGGTTCCAGATCTGAGTTCAGATTTCAACTTCACCACTTTCTAGCTGTTTGTTTTCGGGAAAGCTAATGAGCTTGTCAATCTTTGTCTTCATATGGAAATTGTGGAAATGTCAGCATCTCTTCTCCATGGTGGTTGTGATAAATAAGCAGGTGTTTATTAAAGAGCATGAGCAATCCATAACCGTCATTTTTATTATCAGTGGTGACAGTACATTTCCATGGACATGTGAATGCTAAACTGAGGAAAAGGGAGGCCACCAATATTTGTCACTGCTCCACCTGAAGGGTAACTTGCTCCTATCCAACTGTACCTAAGCCAGTTAATTCAGTCTTGGTCAGATGGGACGGTGTCCTATCTTGTGTTCACTCTAGCCCGACAGATAAAAATCGAAAATCCACTTGCGCAGTGTTTCTCATTTGAAATAAGTCATTGGTCATTGAGAAGTTATAAAACAGCCTAAAAAGGAGATTTGGAGTTTTCTTAATTTTTAGATAAGGAAACTGAGGCTCAGAGAGGTCAAACACTTTATCTAGGTTGCTGAACTACCAATGGATGTTTATATCCAACCCAAGGTGTCTCCTATGAGCCTGTTGGCTGTTGAGGTGTCATTTGCAGAGATTTAGAAAACGCTGGGACATAGAGAACTAAAAGTATGTTCACTGTTGACTGTGCATGTGCCCTGGATGGCCTCCAGAGGGTTCCGTTTCTCAGCACTGTATCCAAGGAGCATGAAATGATAACATTTCTAAGCGCATTGCCATAGGCAGCTGACATCTCCCTTCCCACTTCATGTCAAGTCCTTCTGCTTTCCTGTCCTCCTGGCTAATCCTTTCCTCCATACTAGGCACTTACTGCTTTCACCTCTAGTCCCTCCAGCGTACCATAATGTTGGCACAGAACCTAGGTGAGCCGATCCAATGTAAACACAGCTCTTTGAGAATTGTTGTTGGCTCCCTCAATCTTAAAAACATATTAAGCTGTCTCCTAAAGTCTTTAATCGCCAAGACATTGGAGACATGCCCATAAGTGTATAAGCAACTCGTCCCAAAAGAAAGCATTATTTAAAAAAGAAATAAGGGGAAAAATTATCCAAGTGTCTCTTGAAATCTAACACCATCAAACTGATTCCAACTCCTGGCAGCTCCGTGTGCTGCAGAGAACTACCCCTTAGGGTTTTCCTGCTGTAACCTTTATGGAAACAGATTGCCTTTCTTCCAGTTACCTCTTGTTGTTGTTTTGAACCATCAAGTCAAAACTGACTCATAACTACCTTCTGCAGGTTTTCAGAAGCAGTAAATTGCACAGGAGATTACCCATCTTTCTCCTGTGGAGCAGCTGATAGATTCCTTACCATGTGCCTTTTGGTTGGCTGCACAGTTCCTTACTACTAAGGCACCAGAGCTCCCTGTGGTACTTTTTGAATGTTGTTATGTGCCATTGAGTCACCTGCAACTCATAGCAACGCTGTGCACAATAATTCCGAACTCTGTTCTGTCCTGGACCAATCTCTCACTGTCTCTAACACATCTACCCTCATTAGCATTGTTACTATGTCAATATACCTCATCGGGGTCTTTCTCTCCTGTACAGTCCCTTCACTCTTTCAAGCAGGATATCCTTCTCCAAGAACTGGTCCCTCCTGGCCCAAAGTATGTGAGATGCAGCCTCAAAATCCTTACTTTCAAGGAATAGCTTGACTTCACCCTCTACAAGACAGATCTGTTAGTTCTTTTGGCAGTCCATGGTATATTCAATACTTTTCTCCAGCACCATAACTCAGAGGCATCAATTCTTTTTTAGTCCTTTTGGTCATTGTCCAGCTCTCTGAGGTATAACAGGAATTGTACACCTTAGTCTCTAGACTGACATTGTTGCTC